TGATCATTCTGCTAGTCTCCTTGCTTACTTCGCAAACACAGATGCTGAAGAAAACTGTTCCACAAAATGTGTGAAGTGATCTGTTTTCACACAAGCAGGAGTATATCTAAGACAATCTGACAGTCTGAACCATAGTTTTGTCTGATGTGCCCCTGTGCTCAGTGAGGTGAAGCTGCTGCATGTTGCTCAACTGCACAGGCAGTACTGCACTCCCAAAGTAAGGGAGCCAGAATCCAATCTAGTCACACGCAATGAAAGCAGATCTTCAGCTTGCTTCTGCTCCATATTTTACACATATTCCAGAATATCACAGTCTTAAAAGGGTCAGAATGTATCCTGCCATGCACCAAGGACCCTAATTGGCCATATTCTGCCTTGGAAATTGTGGGCTATGAGCACATGGTGTGCACTACCTAGCACTTTGCAGACTTGACTTTATGAGAGCAACAGTAATTTACTGGCCTTGACGCAGAAGGAGGTGAAGTGAAAGAGGAAAAAGAAAAGGGGAAAGAGGAACATTTCTCATACTTGACCTCAGCCCCACAATACAGTGACATATTATGTCCTTCAAATACACAGTATCTGCATTTATTATGCTACAGATAATTCAAATAATTCATATACTTGCATTTTTATTAATTTATAAACGTTATAAATAATGCATGGAAAATCTATTGAAACAGTTCTGTGATTCAACTGTACGAGGAAATAGTTTAGTTTTAGAAACAACATCACTTTCCTGCCAGAATTTCTACCAGTACAAAATGAAATGTGGTTTTATATCTATATGCATTTACAGGTTCTTATAGCCATGTTATCAGTCTCCAAACCTAGCTATCACCAGATCATTCCGAGTTATGCTTTTCATGCAGCACTGATAGTAGACAGAATGCAGTAATGAAGCAATGAGAACCCCACACAAAGAATATTGACTTTTTAAAATGACATTAAAAGAAAAATCAGTGAAAAAATAAAGAGACAGATGAAGCAAATAATAATTAAATAATATGTGCAGAGTAAAAGTCAAGATATACCCCTGAAAGAATAATGTGGACTAAAATACCATAATAAACTGCACAAAGCACAGATAACAAAATATCATGTACCCTGGTAAATTTTAGCACGCAATAGTTTACTGTAGCTGCATAGAATTTGTTTAAAAACATGCATGTTTTGGGTAAAATAATTAGTAAAAGAAGAAAATTTCTAGTTACGTGGGATAGTTTACTTTGTGGGAAATCATATTATCCTGCTCTGGACAGGTACTGCAGTCAGAACAGAAGAAAACATGTACATAGACAAATGTCAATAAATAGAAAGACAGAAAACTGATCAGGTAGAGAAAGGTATCCCTCAGTACTAGAGGCATCATGGCAATTGGCTGAACAACTACTACAGCATAGATCAGAACACATGAGATTCAGACCAGCAGACGCTAGAACCAAATTCTTTTTCATTCTAACACAGTTCCTACGGTTTTCTTATTTTCTGGGAGTAAAATGCACAAACATAGAAACTTTACTTTTGATTTAAATATTTACCTAAAATGTTGTAATTCTGAAACCTTTAAGTAATAAAACTGCTTAATCACCTCAAAGGTGTTTCTGACTTCTCCATCTCTTCAAAAGACCTGTCAATGAAGACTGCAGATTGTGTACTGAATCATAAATATCTTGGCCAACGAATACAAGCAGATAAGAATTCAGTTGGCTTTTTGCATCCCAGGACTTTCAGACCAAATCAAAACTCTGTTCAACACTATCTATCTATACAGATAATATACAAAATCTTACAAAACAATCGTGCCAAAATATGCATTTAAGCACAGAGACATTTTATTTTGATCTTGCTACATATGAAATACTATTAAAAGGCCTGGTATTGGACATAGGCTGAAATGTAGATGGGGAAAACTGAAATACCAGAGATGCCAAAATACCAAGTATTTTGGCAAGTAGAAAAACTAACCCTACCACTGCATTAGCATTATGCTTCCTAGTACATTTTGGACAGAGTAAATTCCAAAACACTGATCATTAAAAAGAAAGAAAATAAAAAGAAAAAGGAAAAATAAAACCTTGAGATCTACCATAATGCCTGAAAAAGGATGCATATATCCAAGTTTCTATTCAAACTCTTCAGGCTTCCAAACAATGTCTGTAGGTATCTCCCTCCACTTCTGCCCACAACTTTTATTTCACATCACATTACACACAGCTCCCCTAACAGCAGCCCATTGGAATGACATGGTCATGTCCAAAACACAGAACACATTCTCCAGATCTCAATCATCCTTCCCTCAGATTCATCCCAACTGTCTGGATTCAGTCCCTACCTCTCAGAATGTCAGCTGATCGTCCATCTCAACTGAAAACAGCATCCTGTCCCCACCTACCATAAGGATCCTGTACTTATTCTCCTGCCTCAGCACTCACCATAAAAAGCACATTCCCAATTACATTAGGAATGCAGTACTGTTTGTCTTTTGCATGTACCAAGCTATTTAAAATGAGGAGCATTCTATCAGTATCTTGTCAGAAAACAATGACTGGAAATGCGAGAAACCAAACAATTTTCATTTTGTAGGGTTCAAAGTAAAATATTTTTTGGAACTTGGGGAGCTAAGTTCTTATAAAAAATCAGTTTTTCCCTTTGCTAAGGGTATAAAATTAAAAATCACATAGTTTATCCTAATTTTTCAATACATCTACAAAATTTTGAGGTTTTTTTCCACTAACTTTCCCAAAGTTTGGAAACTATTTAAAGGTATAAAATGAGAAAGTAAAACTTCAAAAAGTGATAGAAAAATTATTCATCGTGCAGTTTTCAAAACACTTTAAACTCCTAATCTGAAGAGTCAAAAATTGTAATTTTCAAAACTAACTTAAAATATCAGTTTTCAAAATTTTATCATTTTGAAAGAAACTGTTCTTGTAGAATACTTCTGTTCCCTTAAAGTTATCTTTTTCTAACGACATATTTTAGTCTGCACCCCATTCATTCTAGGGGAAATTCCTGTCACGTGCCTCACTACAAACTCTCCATACCATCTTCAGACATTGTGAGACTCATCCTTCCTCATAAAGCAAAAATTTTAGCACCAGTCTCCGAAGAGTAGTGGGGGCTGGGTCGTGCCCTTAACACGCCACCAAAATATATAGATATTGCCAACATTTCTTAAGCTGGTGAGCTATGATAGGTAACCAAATTTTACCTCCTACTTTAAATATCTACTTGGAGACAGTGGGAATTTACTTTAGAGAGTTATTCAGTGGTAACCAGCTGGAGCTGTGTGTTCTTATAAAGCAGCTGCTCTTTGAGGGAAATGAAGAAATTGTGTAGTAGGGAGACTTATATAATCACACAAAGTATCTAAGGCAGTTACAAGGAGGACAAATGTAGGAAAGATCTTTTAAACATTTCCTAGCATTATTTGGTTTCTTAATATGAAAACAAATGCTATAAACTTATTAATAAAAGCAGCAATATATTGAAACAAACAAACAAAAGATTGATTGATGCCTTCATTGCTTAAATGCTGAATTTACATGCCATTTAGAAATGTAAAACAAAGTGAATTCTGTTCTTATCAGTAAATTAGAATATACCTCCAAATCTCTTGATATGGTTCTCCAGCATTTCAAGATGCAAGATCCTATCTAACCAGAAAAGCAAAAGACTTAATAACTTTGCTAAAAATTCCTAATAGTAAACTCTTGAGGATTTTCTTTCTAAAACTGAAAGTCAATTCTGACTGGTTGGATCACAGCGTCTGTGCATCGGATATCTGAGCAGCTAACACTGTATCTTGAATTTCAGACTAGGAGCTAGCAGCTAAAACTTATTGACAGCCTAATCTTTTGTGAGATTTAGCTGAAAGAGATTTCTTTCCCGCCATTTCAAGTATCCACAACTTTTCTGTCACATAAAACTCTACTACTTTCAGAAATCTGATTGATAGTTCACATTTGTGTTCCCTTCTCATTGTATTTTGTGCAGCTATAGTATTCTGCACTCTACCAATCAAGATTTATATTTTTCAATTTATCCAAAGAATCGAGTCTCTCAGAGCAGTTAAGAATAAAAGTTAGAGAAAATTAAAAATTATACATTGTAGATGGCTGGTCTGATGAGGAAAACAAATAATGTCTCATGCATTGCAAAATGGAGCCAACATGGCTGCTGAACAGACAGAAAAATGTTTCTTCCTGTCCTCCATCGATACTATAAACCACTTGTAGGAGACTAGAAACAGCCTGCTTAGATTTTATGCATATTTTTATAGCCCACATATTATCTTAACATAAACAACTTAGAAGAAATATAAATGTCACATTTTCAAACATATTTAACATCAGTTTTGCACTGCTTCCGTTCTGTTTTCCTCTCATTTTCAAACTGTACCAGACACTTTTGAAAAATCACACTTTGGAGTTGTAAATGCCACAGAAACGCATAGAAAACCTATGTCCTTTAGTTTCATACAAAAGAATTTAAGGAAAGAATTCATGTAATGAATCTTTTACTCAGTGAGAGTGAAGAACAAAAGTGAGTAAATTTGGTACAAATAAAATACAGTTTACAGTAATAAACAATAATGTGATATCTGGAGAAAGATGTATATGAAAACTAGTGCATAGGAAATAAGCAATATTAATGTCTAAGAATGCTGGTGATAAAATTTACAGTGCTACAGTTGAAGTACATACACTCAATAACACAAACACAACTAGAGGCTAAGAACTGGTCTTTCTGGAAAATTAACACTATCGATCTAGCTTATAAGACAAACATGCATATCCTTCTCTAATTCAAAAGAAGAAAATTTTCCAAAATCTGATAAAACAGGATGTTCCTTATGAAATGATGGCCCTGCCTGTACTGAGATATACAATGTAGCTGTTTTAACAAGGAATTTATTCTACAGGTAGCTCAGACTCTGTAGTGAGAATTGTGTATGCTGTAAAATGTACATTAATATTAATGAAATGTTTACATACTGAAAGTTGTCCAGACAAGAACTGTGGAACGTCCCTTAACATGCCAGGACTCATAGGAGAAGTCACTGAAATAGAAGGTCGGTCCATTTTCTGAGATTCAAAGGAACTAGAACCTGCAATTATAAATAAATGTATTTTTAAATACTAGCAGTTATACATTTTTTACTACATCCTTTAAATGAAAAGGATAAAATTATAACCACGTGTACAACAAAGGTTATTGTAATAAATATCATCTCTTTATCTATATAAAAAGACCAAAGAATGACAACCTTCTAATGCTCAGATGCAATTAAAAGCTTTGAAGTTTATCATAACTGCAATAGAGAACCACTAATAGTTTGTTCAAATATTTGCCATGGTGATCATGTCATTAAGTTGAAGGCCGAAAATTCTTTCTTACTTCACTGTGGTCAAAATAAATCAGTATTTGAAGAACGCTTACTATCTCATACAATCACACTAATTATCAATTTATTTTTTTTAAATTAACGGGATATATATAATAAATCTTGTGCATTTTGTTTCAAATCTACAGGGTCTCAGAGGACATCTTTTGAGACATGAAAAGTTAAGAAAAATTTAATGGATTTTATTTAAAGAAATGGCTGATCAGTGAAAAGTTACAGAAGTGGTTTTCACATTATTGTATCCAAGTTTATTCCACTGCATTTATTCAGAGCTTCCATTTTAAAAGAATTCCAAAACAATGACAAGAAAATAACTCCAGGCCTAAACTCATCCTGTGAGATCTGCACCAAAGAACAAGTTATTTTTCCCACATAATGGTTCAGCCAATTTAAAAAGTGCTGAAGGATCCTAATAAAGTATACGTATTCTGGTTTTAAATTAGAGACCATTCAGGTTCTAAATAATGAACAATTCGTCCCAATTTTTAGTTCACAAGCTGCAACAAAAACAACAAAACAAGAAATTGAAAACGGCAATTAATGCTTTTGTACATTAATTATCATTCTGTTTTCCTTTTCAATAAAAAATAGCCTGAGCTTACAATCAAATGCCAAGCCTAAATCAGCATAGCCTGACTTGTGATAGTTTATTGTTTAACAAAGGCAGATAGATCATACATGAAGATAACATACTGAGACAAAGAGACAAGAGCTATACTGAGTGAAGATGACATTTTTCAATTTATCTGTGCTTACATGAAAGAGGATTTTTCTACCTCACAATTGAAACTTACTGGACTCCAGCTGTGCATGTGTGCTGTCAGGTATTCTGGGAATATCCCTGAAAACAAGAAAAGGAAGACAGGCTGATCCTTCATCTAACAATCATATTCACATTTCAGTTAAAATATAACACTTTGCAAGTCATCACCAAATGCCTCAAGAAAATCATATGATCTCCTTAATTACCTTTAGCCACTGGGAAGATCTATCCTTTGTCCAGTATAAATAAGTTCATTGGAAAATTAAGACTACGGAACATGTGGTTTAGTGAATATTGGAAGGAAGGTGCACAGTCACAAATAAAATAAATGATTAAACAGAAAAAAAGGAAAGGAGAAAGGAGAAGGGAGAAGGGAGAAGGGAGAAGGGAGAAGGGAGAAGGGAGAAGGGAGAAGGGAGAAGGGAGAAAGGAGAAGGGAGAAAGGAGAAGGGAGAAAGAAAAGAATATAACAATCTCAGAGTTTTCTTTAGACAAAAGCCAGAAGTGACACTGTCACAGAAACAGAAACCTCATCAGATTACCTCAGTCCCACGGGACGTATTCATCCTATGAGGGCCACACATTCATATACGCTATTAAAAGCATTTTGGAGACATTTGAGCAACATAAAGCAGAGAGTCATATCAAGAACAGTGTTCAATATCACAGTGTACATTTCGGTAGACCTGTTCTTTTAAAGGGTGCATGGGGCTCACATGGCAAGGCAAAGGCAGCAGTGGGGCTGGCAGTGGCGGCCTCTGAGAGGCTGGGGCTGTCCCATGCAGGCCACAGATTGTTCCAGATGGCCCCGAAATAGACCCACCTCAGAGCGCAGCTGTGGCCGTCAGCCAGCATGGCGGTACTTCTGTTAGAACATTTTAATAAAAAACTAAACATGCTGCAAGCAGCTGTGAGAGAGAGGAGTGAGAAATGTGAGAGAACAGCCTTGCAGGCACTCAGATCAGAGGAGGAGGAGGGCAGGAGGTGCTCCAGGCAAAGCTCAGCTCTGTGCAGCCCAGGAGAGGCCCAGGCCATCCCCTGGCAGCCCACGGGCACTGTGCAGAGCAGACCTCCACCTGCAGCCATGGAGGAGCCAGTGGTGGGAAAGGAGGGCTGAGTGAGCTGCCACCCTTGGGGACCCGTGTGGGGGAGCAAGAGAGCAGCTTGGCAGGGGACTGGCAGCCAGCTGAGGTCAACATCACAAAGGTATGCATATGAAAATGAAGGGAAAGCTAGAAGTGCTTCCAGTGATACCTACTGTCTCCCACAATTAAAAGAATCTGTACTACACAGACATAAAATTTATCTTGTAAGCTTTCAGAATGTGCTTTTGAAACATTTTTCAAACCTCATTACAAAAACAGCTGCGCTAAACAGATTCAAGTCTCTTTCTAACTGAATCGATGTGTGGTAGCCAGTACACCGTGTGAACAAAAGGCATCCAAAAGGTGCAACTGCCCACAAAAGAAAAAAAAATCACTCTCTGTTGTGACTACAAAAAACATGTAAGAAACTTCTGAAGGCTGAAAAAGTAAATATTTAAGCTTGCAAATCTGATGTTTGTAGAATACCAAATTATTGATATTTGTAGACTATCAAGGAAAGCAATACCTGCCTATCACTTCAGTCAGAATTATACTGCAGAATTTATCTAAAACATACAGATCCCAGTATTTCACAGTAGTGTGAAATAGAATAAGAATAGTGTTTCTTACAGTGAACTCTCACTGACACGAACATAAAAGAAGGAGAAGCAGCTTTTGGCATCTCTCTACATTTTAAGATATGTTCTGTCGCAAACAACTTATATAGAATAATTAATAAAATGCGAAGCAAAATTTCCATATTCAGAAGTTGCAACTATGAAAATGAGATGCATTTTAAAATAAATACTTCTGAGAATTAGAAAGCAGAAAAAAGTTCTTGCATATATAATAATCAGTTCACATAGATTAACAACAGTGCCACCCATTTACAGTTTGTGGAGAAGACTCTTTTACATCTACTGCAAAAAGAGAGCGGGAACCAAGTGTGTAACTTTTTTTAGCCCCAACCTGGCTCACTTCTTCACACTACATAGCAGATAGTTAATGCTGAATAGGGCATCTCAAGAGCCCACATCAACTTCTTTCAGGAATTATAGACGAGCTGCTATAGTGAGAGGAACTGGAGCACATGGTAACATCATCAATAAAAGACACAATAATAAGGAAGGTAAATGGCAGGCAGGAAACAGAAAAGTACTGAAAGAATGCATGAAGTTTCACGCAATTAAGAGAATGAACAAAGAAAAGAGAATGGAATATTTTCAGGATGAGAGCAGATCCTTGAAACTTGGCTATAAACATTTGTTTGGGAAATGATGAAAGATTTTACATTTATATGAAAAGAGTGTGAATCTTCCTCTTCTTTGGCAGTATTTTTCTAGCAATATAATCTATTAGCATTACTATTACAACTCCCAAGTTACACAAAGGTTTTTATAGATAAGGTAAGAAGATACACCTTTTCCCCTGAAGAGTTTGCAGTTCAGTATATATGCCGAAGATTTCTCATTTCACTGATGAGATAAAGTAATTTTTGTTACTTTGTATCAAGTTTGTTTAAAAGTATCAAATGAAATTATCATCCTAAACATATTGCATCTTCAAGTTAAATACGTCCAGACACTACGCCTTATAGGTCAATTCATAACAACCTTCACATATGAAGGTAAGAAAATTTTACATACAGTTTTACTGTTTTCAGTATTTAAGACTCTGATACGCTATGCACTAAAATTCAGCAATTTTTTTTAAAAAATCATATTTAGTACAAAAAAAATGGCAAAATTACTTACCCAATTGGTCTTGAAACAACAAGCTCCACTTGTGGCTCAGGTTTGGACTCTAAAATGATGTTATATACCTCCTCAAAGGTAGCTCCTTGTAGTAACCTTCCATTCCATTCCAGCACTTCATCACCTATAATTTCAGTAATAGCAATCTGCTTATAAAGTCTACTGTGCACCGTACTTAAAATGACTTAAAATTTAAACCACTGTATTGTCAGAATTGTGAAACCTGTGTTCTCAGAAAGTTCAGTCTTTCATTTAGGAAAATCTTAATGAAGGTCTTCTGCAGCTTGCTCTGAATGCATAAACTTCAGTGAAACAGCAGTACCATCAGTAAGACCTCTACTGAATTAGATACAGCTCTTACTTGTATTAGTAGTTCTGATTCAAAACAAACCTCAAGATGCTGTTTAGAAAATGCAGAACTTTCAAACATATCTCACCAACATACTATTTTAAAGATTCATCCACACCTAGAGGTCTAGTATTTAGGGTTCAGATGATTCTTTGGTTAACATTAATATTTCTTGCACATACTTCAGTGCAGCAATCCATGGTTTGCATGTTGGGATAGGCCCAGATCTTAAGAGTTTCTTAATCATTTGTGACTGCTTGGGTTAGGTCCAAATAAGATATACTCTATAAGATGATAGGGCAGGACAGTCAGTAGAATACTGAGTATGAAAATGTGAACAAAACATGAAAACATGATTTTGAACAACATGAGACTTTATGTATTTCACAAAAATAGTAATCAATAATGTAGTAACTGAATGTCTAGTTGATTACTGTGTAAGGATAAGCCTGGATGTGTAAAAAACAAGCCTGGATAACACCCTTAGAGACAATTACAACTGATGTCTTGACCACTTTAGGAAGAGTCCCAATCAATGCCTGAGAAAGGGTCAATCAAGACACTTCTCAAGGAAATCAAATACTGGCTCTGGCTTAAACACTTAAAGCATTCTTCCTGTGCCAACTTGTAGTGTACAAAATGGTGATACAAATTCATCTGAACTTGTTCCGTGAGACGGTGTCATAGAAATGCTAGTGCTTGTTCATCCCCTCCTAGTTCTGCTGCTTCTTTACCTAGTAATGAGGATTCATAGCTTCTTTTAGGAAATCTGTCAGACTTGTTTCATTTCATATATGCTGAGCCCAAGTCTACATCCAACCTTTGAGACTTGGAAATACTGCATGATCACAGCCACTCCAAAACTCATGCTATGACAATTTGCAGTGAAAGTGATTTTTTCCTTGAAAATAAAATAAAAAAATAATCCAAAGGATGAAACAAAACCCCTGTGAGGACAGGTCGAAAGAGCTGGGACTGTTCAGCCTAGAGAAGAGAAGGCTCCAGAAAGGCCTGATAGCAACATTTTAATATCTAGAAGGGGTTTATAAGAAGGAAGGGGACAGACTCTTTAGCAGGGTCTGTTGCAGCAGGACATGGGGAAATGGCTTCCAACTAAAAGGGGATATAAGAAAAAAAAATTTTTACACTAAAGGTAGTGACACACTGCAACCGTTTGCCCCGAGTATAGTTGATGTTCCATACATGGAGACATTCAACACCAAGCTGGTCTGGACTCTGAGCAATCTGATCAAGCTGTAAGTATCCCTGCTCATCGCAGGGGAGTTGGACTAGATTACCTTTAGAGGTCCCTTTCAATTCAATGATTCTATGACTATTCTATGAATAATCATTGGAGGAGGCCTGGTGTCACCTGTTCAGTTTGGCTTTGTCCAGCGTCTCAGCCTATTCTGAGACTGGAGCCAACTACAATACTACAATACTAGAGGGGCTGCAGGGGGGTATAGCCTGCTCTGTCTTCCACTGCTGCTGCTTCCTTTCTACACCATGTGGAGTGCCTCTACAGACAGGTCTGGCACTAGATCCAGGATTGGTGATCTGCCTCCCCTCTTCTATTTTTCTCTTTTTCATTTTCCCCTTACAGTTTTTAAGTAATGCAAGGTTTACTTGAATTTTCTATAAAGTTGCACAGCTTAGGTAGATATAATTAATGGGCTAAAGCATTAGGGATACATTTTTTATAGACATCTCCTATTAAAGTTGATGTTTTTTCCTCTTATGTACAGACCTTGAATGTTGTTTCAGCTTAATCTAACTGGGGAGGATTTGCGAATCACAGGTGGGACATAACATTCTGCAAAAGTTCGTCACAGCTATTCAACATAATTTCACTTCTAATTAAGCCCACTTTCTTGTCACCTTTACAAAAGCAGTTCCATATTATAGAGCTGTAGCAGATACGTACCTGGTCTAAGATGGCCCACGGTATCAGCTAAGCTTCCTTTTTTAACTTTGGTGATAAATGCACAGAGTCGACCTGATTCAGTCATCTTTCCTCCTACTACCTGTTTCAAAAAGGAATTATTTTCATAGCATAAGAATTATTTTAAATTACTTAAATGTCCGGGCAAACAAAAACAGAATTCAAGGAATTCTTTGGTATTCACTTGAAAAAGACACTGGAAGTGTAAAGACAATGCAAATACAGGAAGTTAAATCATTCAAACTTACACTGTACTATAGATTTGACCCCAAAAAGTACAGCATTGGACATTAGACTGCTCACTTCTACATTTTTTAGATGTAAATAGTTATATTAATGTAACAGAATCCATGACATTCACACAAAGCATTAAATACATTTAATAAGCAATCAAGTCCTCTTTGCGATGATAAGATATAGACACTAAATAATTTTCAGTCTTGTGCATTTAAAATGTAGCATACCAATTAATCAGAGGGGAATAATCAAGAAACAGTTGGTTTTTCCTAGTAGCAGATTTTGCTCTTAAGTGTCATTAACCTCCAAATGTTGCTCAGGTCATAAAAAAAGATGATTTATTTTTCAACATTCCCCCCATCTTTTGGGGAACAGAAGTTATACCACGGTGCAATGCTCAGCTCAAGACTGAACAGAGCTTGGTCTGCTCAGCAAGGATGCAATTTGTGCATTTTGCAGAGCAGCCATTCTCAAGAAACTTGTGAAAACATGTTTAGTCTTCACAAAATATAATTTTTTGAGACTGTCAGAGACCCTGTAGAATTCCTCTTGGTAACTAAATGTATAATGTCTTTATATGGTATTTTTAAGAATAAGAGGATGTTTAGATACACTACGTATTATGAGAATACTTACATTATAAAGGTGGCTAGTTTAACTGAGATTTGTAAGTCACTGCAAAGTTATTAATTACCAACCTTCAATCCAAGCATTGCTCCTGAGTCTCTCGGCACACTTCCATCTTTTAGTCGCTTATTTAATAAAATCCGACCAATGAGACGGTCTCCATCTTTGGACGGTTGCCAAGTTACTGGATGCTATCATTTGGTTTTAAACAAGAATACAGTCAATGTGATTTGAAGAAAAATATTTCAGTAAAAACTTTCATTTCCCGATTTTTAAAACATAGTAGATTTTATTTTAAAAACATAGTGGAAGTTTTATGATTACACTAATATTAAATGTATCAGAATGACAGAAAATTGTGCTGGTGAAGATTTATTTGGATATACAGTCCATCAAAATGTATTTCTAATGTTTCAGAACATTAGCAACTTTCCTCAATCCAATTTCTAAATATCTTACTGATCTTTGCATCTCGATGAATAGACAGATACAGATAACTCAACACAGTTATCTATGCACAGTAACAGTTCCACCAGAGTACTGTCAGAAACAACTGTAGAGGTCAATATTGGAAGTAATATTGAAAAAGCACATTTTACTTGAAACGGAAACTTGATTTGAGATGTAATTTCTCCTTTTTCTCCTTTTCTAAACACGCCAGTTTTCTATAGGACTGACAAACTTTTGCAATGTTTTACTTTCTGTCAGTACTAGTATATTAAAAGTCATAGAATATTTTTAAAGGGATGGTTTTTGCTCTCATTTAAATGTAATGAATGTTTCTTTGAATAATTATTTCACATACAGAGCATAGTTACAGTCAACATGTTATTATTCATAGAATTATATAATGGTTTGGGTTGGCAGGGACCTTTAAGATCATCTAGTTCCAACCCCCTGCTATAGGCAGGGACACCTCCCACTAGACCAGGTTGCTCAAAGCCCCATCCAGCCTGGCCTTGAATGCTTCCAGGGAGTAGGCTTTATTCCATTGCCATACACAGGCATGGTTACACATATTGTTGTATGTTGGTGCAATTACTAAAATTTTAAATAACATTTTAATTTTGTGTAATCATAGCACTTCTTCACAGATAAATACTACTTTCATGCTCTATTTCATGCAAGATTAGCAGGCATGAACAAATTTGCTTCCATTACAAGGAGTACCTCTAAAATGATGGATCATAATCTCTACCAAACAAAAAGCAAAAATAAAAATCACCAAAGCAGATAGTAAAGCCTTTAATTCTGCACAATACTGCACAAAAAAAAATGGCATGGCAACAAAACAAAAGAACAATCATGACAGTGAAAGGGAAAAAAGAAAAACAACTTTTCTGTGCAGAGGAACCCAATTTTCTCCTTTTAATCTGGGACTTAAACTATTAATTTAATTTCAGTCCCAAGAGTTTGAATGCAGTAAATCAAATAAGCCAATCAGTAGAATCCTTATTGTTAATTACTTTACACTTGAAGGTAATACCATGATAGGATATTATGCAACCATAAGAACAATGTTCCTTTGTGCCTCATGTTTTTTTCTTTGGCTGCCAAACAGTAAAAGCTGCAAGCATGGAGAGATTTTTCATTTGTTTTTCTTTTCTGCACCTTAAGAAATGCTACATTGTCTCTAGAAACATCCTGCCTTCTATTTTATGAGCTATTTTAATGAGTGACAGAGAGCAAACAAAGACCAAGAGCAGGTTAAAATGCAGGCTCCATAATCTCAGTACCTTCTCGCTATGGCTATGCTCCTCGTTTAGAGTTGTGCTACTACACGTATCTACCCCAGAGTCTTTTATCTGAGGCTCAGACCATTCCAAGTCCTCTTCGAAAGACTGGTCACCAAAGCACACCATTCTCTTTTGTCTCTCGGATAAGGTGTTAGAATCCAACACAACTGCCTGCTCACTAGTTTTTCTTTTTCCCCTTTGACTGTCCCCTATAGATGTTGGATAAAAAAAAAAAAAAGGATACAAAAAAGAAAAACATGCAAAGGTGTAAATAAAACAAAGGAAACGTGAAATGATAAAGGAAACTAAGTGGTAAGGCTCCACATGTCTCACCAAAGACATTGGGGATGCCTCACTGCTATGCCAAGACGTATGGTCCAACCAGTTGTAATCCATGTCTCCTGCGAGAATCAGACAGACAAGATAGTGTGGTAAAGGAAAAGTGAAAGAAAGGACAGACAAAGATACAGTAAAATTGTTAAGGTTTCTGGTTATCTTGTCTGATTCGTAATCTTTGCTAGCAGCACTTGCAAGGCACTTCCAAGAAAAAGTCAAGACGGCAACAACAGAGCACATGGAATATGAAATACAGTGAGGAAAGAGAGATGTTTGTGTGTGCCTGTGTGTGCATACAGTTGTGTATAGTGTAAAGCATCACTGATTCACAGTTTTTAACTGCAGAAAACGAAATGAAAGGGCAAACTGCATTGTAATTCATAATTTCCAAAAAGGAAAGCATTTGATTGTGGAATCAGTTCCCATCATAACCAAGAGAAATGAGTCTTGTATGAAGCAACTGATGTCTTTGCCTTCCAACACAAACTAGTGTTTTTTTGATCACTTCAGTAAAATACTTGAACAGTACTACGCTATTTTCAGCTGTACCATAGAAAACAATTTTAGAAAGGCTGAGTGATCTGTTAAAATATGACAGATTGATAAGGAAAACAAATATACAAAATATCTTTGGAATAGAAAGCATATAGCATTGAAATACCCAGATAAATGTCTAGTGGTTAAATACCAGGAAGAACTCTAATAAGGTACCTTTTAACTCAGAAAAAAGGTGAAGCGTTCTGATAAGACAGATACGTATAGATATATTATAGAATCAGAATTTAACCTGTATGGCAGAAAGATGACAGGAAGAAAAGTCTGAAGCACAGTTTCAAAGAAAAGGTCTAAACACTGCTGTCCAAGAGCAGCCTCACTGATGAAGACTAGAGGGATAGTGGAATTTTAAATGAGAAAAAAATTATTAAACTATGACTCCCATGACTACATGAACTAAAGGCACATGATTCCATACTGTTTCTTCCTGACAGTCATCTTCTTTGTCGTTATTACAACTTCACTTCCCCAAAACAAAGTCTGACAAAAAAGCTGTAATTTGGTTCCCTGTAATTTGCTACATAATTCCAGGAGCAGACAACTGAAATAAAACGGGCTTTCTAAGTAGAATAGTTAAAACAGATCATTCTTACCAATTCTAATTCCTGGCTATTTCCAAGAAATCATATTTTCATTGAAATGACTGTACTTAAATGAAGGTATCTATTGTTAAGAATTAAGAATCCACTGCTGCAAATTACTGGCCACGTTTCAAGGTTTTAAAATGCTCAGCCACAACAGTGATGATTACTTGCATTCCAAAACAAGCCAAGAGAAAGGAATCCAAGGGTACAGATATTACATCCTTGCTGTCCTGCAGTGAACATTCTGTATGTTTGCATACACATTATGCATAGCAATTGAGAAGGCTTTGCCAGTTCTTCATTCTTCTCCCCATATAAACTATGCACTTCTGCATGAACTTGTCAAGTGCTACATTTCCCATCATGAACTTGTCAAGTGCTACATTTCCCATCAAACTTTCACTTGTGTGTCTGTGTACAAAATAGAGAATAACCACTTTTTTTTTTTTAAACAAGGAAATAAGTTACTGAAAAGTTGAGATCTCTGCTATGCACTCATCATAAAAACATTCCCAGATTTCATATATCTTAATTAACAAAAATCGTCCAGTCTTTACTTGCAATTTGTATGCCCATGATATGTGTATACAGGCAAATACTTAAAGACAGAAATCAAGTAGGTCACTCTGAAAGTAATGCCTCCTATTTCCATGGAAACTACAACAGATACAAAGAACACAACAGCACAAAGCAAATTCTCAGCTACGAAACAGTCATTCATCGCAGTCACAGCCACCACCATTAGCTGTGCATTTTTGCCAGCAATGGAGAAGAGCCTGCATGCCATACTCATAAACAAATGCATCAGTAACCCATTGGCACACTGTGTTCACATCCACTGTTTGGTCTCCATCAACATTCAGCAAGCATCAATGAATGTCAATATGTGCAGTCTTTTCTTCACAGACGAATCAATTCCATACCTTTGCTTCGTCCGTGCTTCCATGTCAGATGTCATTTTGTCAGACTGCCTCTCTGCTGCCAGCACACAGCAACAACATTGTAACAGGATACTGCTGGGAAGGTTCATCCTCTACTGCCATACCAACAACATCTGCCTCTGACATTGTGGGCCAGTGTAATAAAATAGGAAGCATTACTTTTGGAGCAACCCTCTTAAGTAGCTTTCCAGTAAGTGTACATTATAGTGGATATGTGTTATATGTAGATAGGTTCATTTTATAGGCCTTTACATGAGCAAAAGTTGAGCCGTGATGGGCTCTAACAATATGATCTCTGCGCACCCATGCTTGAAACACCCACACTCTTTCAATTAGAGATATAATTTATTTTTTTCTTTTTAACTAAAACTATCCAAAATAGAAATCGACATGCATTAATGCATATGAATATGCTTGATTGATAACTAAATTTTCTAAAGACTTCCCATTTATGCAGTAAAAATAAAACGATTATTTTCCCACAATGTTCTAATTTCCCTCCACTTCCAACAATAATAAAAAAGAGCTTCTAAGAGTAAGTTCTTTTCCATCCTATTTCACAACCTTTTAAAGGGAGTTCCCAAATATCAACTCTAGACACCGCCAATTCCTCTCTTCAATCAAGACATAAAAAGTTGACTTTCTCTTTTGCTCTGTTGTCCTGCAATAAACATCAGTTCATCTAAAATTAAAACGGTAAGAAAATGAACAGCAATTTCATACTGTTTTATTTACATATGTATTCTTTTTTCCATTAGAGTATGTACCTTCAGGTTTGGAAAAAAACTGTCAAAGAAATTGCAAATGATGAAGCCCTAGCAAGTAGTCTAGATTTCATCCTTAATACTGCATTGAGTCATCTAAACGACAGATTATAAATATTATTAAAAAAAAAATGCAATCCAAATTGTATTAATAAATCTAATTGATCTAATAAAATATATTTCTAGAAGCCTACTAGTGATTTATATTTCTATGAGACCCATGTTGCTTATTACAGTCACACTTCCTTGGAGTAAAATGAATGATCTGACAAACTGATTGAAGATCAACTTTTCAGAGCATGTCCTATGAACATTAAAATCTTGACTGGGTAAAAGTTTTCAGATCCAGTAAAATTTGAAGTAATAAATGTAAGACAGTTATTTGCTTCTCTACAAGAAAAACTATTAAACCATAATCATATCATAACAAACACAATGAATCTTTAATTCTGTTGCCAAAACGTGCAGCAGAAGTGAGAAAAACCATCATCTACTTGATAAATTATATAAGCTACAGTATCAAAGCCATCTTTCATGAAAAGCATGGTACAGTCATAGCTAATGTCATTGTAGCATCATTCAGATGCTTCATGAGTTCAGCAGTGCAGCTGAGTACAGGAATGGACGTGTGTGAGCTTTGCCCTGATTATGGCCAGTGAACTTTGTACCGGCATGAAGAGCTTGCATGGACAAGGCAGGCTGGGACAGAAACCATGCCAGTGACCTGGCCTTTCTGTACAAATGGCATTAAGTCTTGTAAGCTTACAGATTGTTAGGGTATTTTGCTCTCATTGACTTTAGCCTCCTTAGCCAAAACCAAGCACCCAGGGGAAAAGCTTTTCTTCTTCTTCTTCCATATTTCTACAGAAGAGCCCACAGCAGTGTGAACTTCCCATAGCAGTAGGAACCTTGAATGTGTAGTTAAAATGGAGGACAACTGGTGTACACCGAAGTTTGTATGGCCAAGAAGGAAAGACATAAAAGAAAAGCTGTAAGGTAGATCCTGAAAAGCAGAGAGCTCTATCCCACAGGGCAGGCAAGAGAGTAAATGTGGCTGGGCACATACATAGTGCCCATAGGTGGCACGAAGGTGGCACAGAGAGCCTGAGAGCACTGTCTAGAGACAGTCACAGGAAAAACTTCCCTGGTATACAGAGCAAGGGTAGATATGGACACACTGATAGAAATGTGTACGTGTGCTGTTGTGCAGCAACAGAAGAATGCCTTCCATGATGAATTTCTGAAAACAGTCCTTACAACACAAATGCTGCCAAACCATTAAGTATCGCAATTCTACATTTCTACATAACACAGAAACATACTTTCCACCAAAAGAAACACTTTCTGAAGACATTCCCTGACAATATGCTTACGGACTTTTTTTTTTTAACAGCTTTAGCAGGATTCTTCATGGGTCAGTTATTAGGAATTCAGAAATCTCTTGATTTCTCCCTTTTCTTGAAGTGAATCTACTTGTGAGAAATGTCATTAAGAATGAAGAATGAAGACACTGGTTTACCTTCACAGAAAATGCAGCCCTGTTTTCAAACAGTACTAATACTGCTCAACAGAAAAAGTATTAGCCTTAATGGAAAGGATTACCTAATGAAAAGGGTGAAAGGGTTGCAGCATGACTGCTGAGAGAAATGTACTTACTGAAACTATTTTCTTAAGTACGTTTTGCCAGAAGAATTTAATTTATGGGAAGGGCTTTCTTCACAATTAAAGACAACTAGTCAAGTACATTTTTGTAAAGGTCTTGAAATAAATTGAAACAAAGCATATCAATATGGCATACGCATTTATATGGCAGACTGTCTGCTTTCTGTAGAAAGCTTCTGCCTAGTAAAACCTGTGGGATGGAGCATTAAAAAAAAAAAAAAAGAAAGAAAGAAAGAAAAAAGAAAAAAACATGGGAATAGAGTTTCTTAATGGAAATTCACACTTGACTCCCACTGCTGGAAGACATACCGCCAGCCACAGCACAGTGCCATGCAACAGATGTCCTCACACGCATCCATCACCTCTGCCACATAACCCGGCATGCTGGAACTCACAATATTGGTCACCAAGAAAATGGACTGCTGTTATCAGGAAGTCACAGTAAACAGGCAGACATTTTTCCCTGGGGAGCCTACCCACCACTGACAGTTGCCATCTACTTAGTACTCAAGATTCTCAGAGTGACATACCTTTGTCCTATGTTCCCTCCTTGATTTCT